GTGCGTGCGTGCGTGCGTGCGTGCGTGCGTGCGTGCGTGCGGGCGTGCGTGCGTGCGTGCGTGCGTGCGTGCGTGCGTGCGTGCGTGCGTGCGTGCGTGTGTGCGTGCGTGTGTGTGTGTGTGTGTGTGTATGTGTGTGTGTGTGTATTTTACTTTAAGTAAATTTAATCTTACAAGAGGAAAACCAGATAATCGGAATCGGGAATTTTGATGCATTTTTTACAAGCTGCTCTTGAGCGGAAAAAAACAAAACGTATCCGGCCGTTTCAGCCATTGGGCTATAGTTTCGAAGAAATCGATTTTTTAAATAATTATTGTAATAATTTGAAAAACTTTATAAATATAATACTTTATAAATGAAAATATTAGTATCTTTAATTTTACTTAAACTTAATTAGTTTTACTAATTTTATTAATAACTTATTACGTTATTAGTTTTAATTAATAACTTAATACGTTATTAGTTTTAATTAATTTTAATTTTTGATTATAATGAAATTTCATGAAATTACATATTGCAGATAATTAAACACTCATTTATGGAATATTTATTATTATCGTCATTGTTGATATTCACATGAATGTATAAATAAGATTGTAATGAAAACTGTCAGTTTCTGATAAAATTACAAATTGAAAGTTGATTAAGAACAATAAGTCATACGTTTGTAATCTTCTTTTGATTAATCGGTTTATTAATAATAATAGAAAACTAATCATTTTGTAGGGTACATTGTATGGCATGATATAAATCATAGAAACAAGAAAACATAAATATTTATTGCATTATGAACATTTTACAAATGAATTTTATTGCAGACACAATAACTTTTTCTAATATCTTGCGGAAAGCAGATTTGATTGAGATTATAGAAATATCTTCTTTCAAGAATCAATTTTGAGAACTAAATTTTTCATTTTTGAATGAAAAATTTAGTTCTCAAAATTCATTCTAAAATTCATTCGTAAGATGTTCATAATGCAATAAATATTTATGTTAATATTTTTTAGGCTTCCACGGATGTTTTCTATAAAAGATTATGCGTTTCCTCCGTTTTCAGATCCATTCTTGGAATGCCAAGAAGTGAACCTTGCAGTCCACTTCATCAGGGCGAGGAACCT